ATACAGTAATAAACCTTTTTGAGTAATCCTCGGGGGTAAGGAGCATGCATTTTGTTGATTCAGAGTTGTATACAAAATTACTGTGGTATGAAAGGGAGCAACGACCGTACTATGGCAGAGTGGCGCAAGTCATGAATGTGTAATAGTGCCCGAAACTAATTGCAAAATTGTAATAACATTGCAACTTATTGTCTATTATTATAGATACTAGTACAGATAGTTCATAGTTCATAGTTCAGTGTATAATAATTAATATTACACCGTACATGATAATGAACTGTTAAATGCTGAAAACGCTTGTAACTTGTAGATCACTCAAACTTGGGTGTGCTTAATGGACTGTCTGGGCGGATGCGCTGGCAGGCATTGGGGTATGTATAGCTATACAAACCTTGTTTTTTTTTTAATAAAGACTTAAATATATTCGGAAATTTAGAATTTGGCTTGATAAATTCACAAAACTTACGCTTTTCATAAAAATATAATCTTACAATGGACTTTTTTTATTTTAAACTTACATTTAAGAAAACTCCATTCAATGCTATAATTACGATTTGAGTTTTCCAGTTTATAAAACACAAGCGTTAATTACGTACTTAACTATTGATATTATTCTTCATTAAGCATGAATATCAGCATACATTAAAGATGAATATTATACTTCACCTACATTTAGTTCATATATAACACATAGTTATGTGTATTTTTCCTCGAAATGAACTTTTTCTAATCATGAGGCGAAATTCCCCACAGTAAGTGTTGCCGTGCGCGCAAAACGAAAGCGCTGCACACAACCCAAAAGTACTCCTCTGGGACCAAATGGTGAAAAACTGCGAAAAGGTTTATTACTTTATATACTGTGATTTTGAAACGAGCTAGGTATGTTCGCCCTTTGTTGATATACATAAAAAGGCATATATGTAATACTTCTATATTAGTTGTGTTTTTTTTACAAATTATCCAGTAAATTGCCAGTAACTCTCCAGTAACTTTATTTCTAAGAATTCGCTCTCATAGAAAAAATTTGCAAAAAAGTACGCGAACGCTTTTCCAGTAATAATTTGCAAGTTTCATGAACAGCTCATAAATTGGTTGTTTATTCGCAGCAAATTCCTTATAGAACAATATATTTTGTATTTAAATAGGTTTATTTTGTGAAATTCAACAATAAAAAGCCACAAACAGTTTCCTTATTAGTTTAAATTTCATCCAGCAACATGCGATCAGCTGTTTTTCGTACTGGCAAATTCTTACAAGTAAAAATTTATCCAGTAAAATCCAGTAAAAACTTGCAACTTCAGCTGTCATTTTTCGCTCTCTCAATTTCCCCTACTTTGCAAGTTTTTGCGTACGAAAACGCCAAAACATGAAAATTCGTAAAAACTTTTACTGGATTTTACTGGAAATGAGTAAAAAAACGCAACTATTGACAGTAAGCTAACATCTCGATGTGTAAGCATTCCGAAATCAAAGCGAGACAGTCTAGTACTGTTTTTGTCAATGTATTGTGTACTTGAGTGCTGGTTTTGTAAATGTGTCGTGTACATGTTTATTTATAAACGTATGTGTTCCTTTTCTTTCGTAAGAGTTTATTGATATATCTGTACTGTAGTGTTTTCGGACGGTACTAGCTCTTACTGCCAATATATATACATATATTTTTACATATATGTAAAAAGGTGAACATTAATCCGTTCGAAAACTAATGTAATAGAGTAAATAGTAAACATCATTTTGAAAGCGTTTGGAAAGAATTTGATAATATAAAGATAATTAAGAAAAATAAAGCTAGAACTTAAATTTTCAGCTTTCGTTTGTTTTCTGCATAAAATATTTGATCAAAAATCTACCAAAATGGAAAAAAAGTTACCTTTTTACCAAACGAAATTTTTCTACCAGTTTCGGTAATAAATCCAAAGTGGTAACACTGTTCGCCATCAACACCACCTTGTATAAATTCGCCTTGCCAAGAAGCTAAAGCTGAAATTAGTCGAGAACGCAGAACGTGTACTTAAACGCAGTCTGTATACGCAGAATTTTGTTGATTACTGGAGCCCTCAGTGTTGCTTACTACACTGTTGCCACTCATCAATGCCTTTTCATAAACTTACCCTTTCAACTACAATTTTTCGTGCTATAATAGATTTTAGCTAAATATAAACTACTTAGTTTTCAACAAAAACCTTATTCAATAGTAAATTTCAAATATTTTAAACATATTTTGAGTAGGAACTTATATCTTTTTTACCATCTGTAAAACTGACGAAGTGGCAACCGTCTAAAGAAGGAGAAATCAGCTGACACGGAAAAATCTAAATTCCGCAGATTTCTGCGCTACGGGCTACAACTACAGAAAAATTCTGCGGTGTTGAGTTTTCATTTACATGGCGCTTTGGTAAGACAGATCGTGTCAGCTGACTCGGGTTTACGTACCGGTAGGTTTACGTTCTTGACTAATTTCAGCTTTACAGTGACCATGTGCCGATATCGCAGCAAGCAGCATTTTGAAGTAAACAAACAAAAACAGTTGCCAAACGAAATACACGATGTACAGTGTTTGTTTGTTTGAACGCAGCGCTGCTTGTACATACATAAATTACGCTTTGGGCGCAGCGCTGGTTGTACATAAATTTCTCTTTGCGCATGTCTGAGGCTGGCAAAGGTTCTTTTTTTAATTTTTGCGCTGTGCTAGCTGAGTATAAAAAGAGAAGAGAATAGAGAAATATGTAGGTCAAGCCGAATTTATACAAGGTGGTGTCAGTGATCGGATTTAAAAAAAAATTTTTATGGTAGAATCTGGAAAAAAATGTAGTAGATTTAAACAAAATGTGGTAGATCTCAGGGTTTGGATTAAACTTTGTACAAAAATTTAAAAAATGTTGCAAAATTTCACCTAAATTGCAAACATTTTAATTAGAGTCTAACAAAAAAATTAATTTTAGTATAATAAAGTGCAAGATTGAAGTTGCTAAAAATTGCGTTGAGTTTTGGCAATATTTTTCCTTGACAGTGTAAAATATCAAAATATTTTTCGAACATATTTTGAAAGATTTCTGTAACCTTGCGGAGTGCTGCCAGCTTTTCTTTTTATCACATCACGATGTAGCGAACAAATTTGGCACGTTCCAGAAACCGCTGCTTGGGATTTGACGATTTTGACAATTCTCAAGTAAAAGTAAACAACGCTTAAGAAACTTTAGATACACTGAAATTTGCTAATGCTTTCACAAAAATCGCCATTTTTTAACATTCTCGCTATTAATTTTTTTTTATAAATCATATATTTTGCAATTTAACACAATAAAACCACGTTTCCTGTTGAAAATTTTAATATTGGGAATATTTACTATTTTACGGTTTATTTTATCCTCCCATTCTGCCTGTTGTTAGTGTTTAGTGTTGGACAATTTGTGCTCTTAAACTTAAGAAAATCATGTCGAGCAAAAATAAAACTACTCAAAAACGCGAATATGTGGTAGATTTCAGACCTTGTGTGGTAGACGTGGTAGATGCTCAAAAAAGTGGTAGATCTACCACAATGTGGTAGAAGTCCGATCACTGGGTGGTGTTACTGGCGAATTTAGATTTTCGCCGCTGTACTACCGAATGTCAAAATGATGTGTTTGTTGTAATATGAATTCGCCTTGTTTACAACAAACACATCATTTTGATATTAGGAAGTCCCGCGGCGAAAATCTAAATTCGCCCGTAACACTACCTTGTTTAAAATTCGCCTTGATGTATGTGGTTTGTTTATGCTCCCAAGCACAAACGCGTGAAAGGCAAACGGTCTAGCAATGCGTGGTATTGTTGATCAACTTAATACTTTAATTAAACAAATTTATTATTAAAATTTCATTTTAAAAATACCACTGTGTCCTACTGTGGTAGAAATATGTCATTTTAAAACTTGAATCATAGAAATCGACCCAGTACATCGGCTGTTTTGCTCTCACGTTGGGTTTGAATTTTATATATACAGTGAAACCCGCTTAAGGACCCCCCCGCTTAAATACCTAACCCGCTTAAAACACATTTTTGGGCAGTATGAATTTTTGAATGTAATCTGAAGAAAATCCCTCTCTTAAGTGCCTCCCCGCTTATTTACCCAACCCGCCTAAGTGCCTAAATTTTTCGTACCCCATTTACCACTTTACATATAATTTACCCCTTTTAAGTGCTCTTTTAGAATTCCTTAAAATATTTACATATTTTGAAATTCAGTGACAGCGTTACACACCTTCGACAAAAAAATTATAAAAAATCAACGGTAATTTTTAGCCACTTGAAACCAGCACATTGTTACACCAAAATTTAATGGGCTATAAAACTGTATTATCAAAAAACACTTCAGAGAAAAAAGTATTAAAGTTTCTTTAAGTATTGTATAAAATCTTAAGCTTAGGTTTATGTGATATTTGTTAGGGAATGAACTGTATTTTAATTGAAAAATCTTAAATAATGCTACGGTCTTGGTTTTAAACTCCGTATACATACTTCATTAAATGTTCATGTTTTATTCAAGGATTTACATATTTATGTAAGTTAACAAAAATATTTAACTACATCAATAATTATGTTCGCTTAAGTACCCGCATCGAGGTACTTAAGCGGGTTCTTTTAAGTACCCAACCCGCCTAAATACCTCAAAAACTGACATTTTTCGTGAGGTACTGAAGCGGGTTTTACTGTAGTATATAGATGTATTTCACATGGCACGCTTTGATTTATAAGAAACAAATCAGAACATTTTTTGACACTTTCGATACCAGAAGCAACAAAAAAATACACGCAACTGTTGTTATTGCTCTAAAGCTACTATCTGTTTGATATGCCTTGATATAACCTAGAGCTAGCTCACTAAGGTGCACGAACTACAACTGAACGGTTAACTCAAAAGAACTAAAGTGCCCTACTCTAATGTACAATAATTTTTTTTGTATAGGGTCCGACCATCTTGTGCAAGCTCACAAATTATTTGCTGAAGATTACATACTCACCCATTACTTGAACGGGCCTCATCGTACGCTTTAGAGAAATGCACATCTTCGGCAGAATCATACCCTTCAGCAAAGTCGCCGTCATTAGTATTGCTTGTATCAACTGATTTTATGCTTCTCTGTTGTCGATTCTCAGTTTTATTCTGCGTAAATTTGCTTATGACTGCAGGGTCTCTGTTATAGTTTTTTTTAGAATCACTTTCTATATCCAGGAGTGCTATGGGAGAATTATTTTTATCTCTTTGATGATTGATTTTATCGAATAGAATATTAAGCACCCGAAAACGTTCTGATATTATAGACACATTTGATACGAACATTCCTTGTACTATACTTCCAGCAACGTATGGGAATGTTATAACCATGTTTGATACAATGCAATACGGTCCGTAATACCTTAAAATGAAAAGTGGAATTTGATATATTTTTAAAGATTAATCGGATATATTATGTACTTGAAAGCCTCTTTTACATCGTAGAAAATTGATAATCCAAATGCTAATAAAACAAGTACCCAAGTTATATAGAACAGCCTTTTCTTTTCAGGCATAACCAGTTTGTTACGACCATTAGCCAACTTGACGCAATCAGCAGTTAGTGCGTCAATTTCCTTCAGCCTTTTTCCAAACTCGATGTAGAATGATTTTCGACGCAAAATCGTTAGGAAATGAACCGTTAAATAAAGGAAACATCCCACATATATCAAAAGTGTGATACTAAGGCGGCAGATGCTGTTACATTCCACCAACTGGTGTACGCCGAACCCTTGAAAGTTGACGTAGTAGTAGCAAACTAGGTATACAAGTGGCATAACAACGACGAGGCCATAGTCCACGGCAATATTTGCATCGAGTTCTGTGCTATTGAAAGGCACTAATCCTAATATCTGTTACGGAAAGAAGAGACATTTTTTTGATTACACTACATAGTTTAAAATAATTCTAATTCTAAGCAATGAGAACAGTTTTCGAAATATAAAAAGTCAAAAAGTGAGTTAATTAAATCTATATATTATTCTGGAACAAGGCACTTATTCCCAGCGATCTACAAATCGCACAGAGACAAATTATACATCAAATTAAAGTTCTCGATCTGAAACTTTGCACAAATATTTGCGTCGAAAGATTTTAAAATTTTTACATTGAGCAAAGCATTGCTACGTTCGGAAGATCTACAAAGAAAATGTTTCCTTTGTCTCTGTACATACACGACGTTGTTGCATATCCATACATCCATACACACTATCAACAACAACATTAGGGCGGGTGATAGTGAAAATATATTGTATCATGAAGTCAACAACAAGCCTGCAAAATATTAGTCTTTTATTTCAATTGTAAGAGCCCGCGCATCGACCACCAAGTGACCCACAGCACACTAGTCGAATAAGACCAATTCTTGTTAAAAATTCTGGGTTCATGCATGTTATTAGATAATGAACCCGTTAACGCAAAAGATAAAGTTAAATATGCTTACTCGCAGCCCTTTAGCTTACCGTTAATCTCAAATTTTAATTATTCTCTTGATAATTGCCCTGACCTATTGCCAAAAGATGTAAAGAACAGCATTAATATTTATTACTGGCGTGCATTTAGGTCACTGGTTCCAAATATTCGAACCTTTTTTTAATTTAGCTATAGTTTGCGAATTTTCGCAAATTTAAGAACAATTTCGGTAGCTCTAATAGAAAAGCCATTATTTTCACTCACCGTGGAAAAATTTTGTTTTGCAAATGTGTATGGAAACACTGAACAGGCACAACTTCTAGAAACACTAATTATGCATACAATATAAAAATTGCAAATATAGGAAAATTACAAAAAATGTTGTTCACAATTTTTTTTATTTTAAAATAATTTGTTTATAATCTGAACGATTTTCATCATATCTTATTACATTAAACGAGCAATTCTTGTATATATATATATATATCCATAGGGTTCTCGGAAACAGCTCTAACGATTTTGATGAAAGTTTGTACACATATAATGTTTTGGATTTTAAGGTTATCTGAATAGGCATTATCTCTGAGAAGACTCGTATAAGGTTGCCACTTATTCGAAATTAGTTACAAATTAATTAAAACATCATAATATGGGTATCAAATGGAAGGTATTTTAAATACCCCTAATTAAAAAATATTTTTAAAAGGTTGCCACCTATTTTGCATCGCATATTTATTTAATTCTTTGTTTAGAAAAAAAGGTAAAATATGGATACCAAGAGAATGTTCTTAAACAATGCTTTCCCTAAATAAAAAAACTAGCAGACCCGGCGAATTTCGTCCCGCCCAAAATTTTTATATATTTTATTGAAACTTTTTGGTCCAACATTTTCACCAACAATTCACGTTTACGATTTTCATTGGCACATTCGTCTGCTAAGATTATGGTTTGGTGGTCATTTGCCGCTTTAAATAACCTAAGGAAAGTGTTATATCCGTGAAGAAGTTCTTGAAATTCTCCAGTTGTGCGGCATTTCATAGCACGGTTATTCGCAAAGTGAAATACATTTTTTCCTCTTCACTCCCTGGCGGCAACAAGGAGCCGGTTCTATAGTGAATGTCCTAAAAGCTTTACAGTATAGTTAGTGACAATTTCAAAATGGGTGCGAATCATTGTTCTACAGAAATACAATATAAATATACTTATTTAAGACGGAATACCTTAAAAGTTTGAACGCATAATAATATTGGAAAATCACATCCATTGGGCCAATTGCAACGCAGGAGCGTCGATATACTCAATGGTGCAACGGGTCGATTTAATCTGACCTTCACAGCCCCTTTTCTCACTTGGCTATTTTTAGTAATAACTCGACTTCAGCACCACTTGGCAGCAGGTTTTTGCAATAGTATTACATACATATTTAAAACATTAGCCAAATCGGATCATAAATAAGATTTTTAGTAATAACTCAACTACAGCGCCACCTGTCGGATTAAATTGTGAAACTAAACCATCCAGAGACCCACTCAAACACACACAAACAGTTTCGTTAAAATCCGTACAACCATTTAGGAGGATTTCACTCACAAACACACCTACAGAAGAGTTATAAATACATTCAAAGATAGCTAAAGGTCGGTACGTTTGTAGGCCTCACACCCCTTTTTAAAATAGCCCAAATTTTTTCCATGAGAGATATGCAGTATAAAAATTCGATTTATATGGGAGGTGCCACGCCCCCCTTTCCAACAGCTGCCCTTTCTTCGTGAGTATGCTATTGATTTCGTATATCTCCATACCAAGTTCCAGAACTCTACCATGAACACTTCCAAAAATATGCAGTATGAAAAATTCGGTTTGTTTCGAAGATGCCACGCCCCCTTTTCCAATAGGTCCAATTTTTCTCCAAGAGTATGCGATTTATTTCGTACATCTCCATACAAAGTTCCAGAACTCTACCATGAACACTTCCAGAGATATGCAATATGAAAAATTTGGTTTGTAAGGTTTTCAAATAGTTCCAATTTTTCTCCAAGAGTATGCGATTCATTTCGTACATCTCCATACAAAGTACCAAAAAACTTCCAGAGATATGCAGTATGAAAAATTATGTTTGTATGGGAGATGCCACACCCCTTTTTACAATAGCTCAAATTTTTCTCCAAGGGTATGCGATTGATTTCGTATATTTACATACCAAGTTCCAGAACTCTACCATGAACACTTCCAGAGATACGTAGTATGAAAAATTTGGTTTGTATGGGAGATGCCACACCCCTTTTTACAATAGCTTATATTTTTCCAAGGGTATGCGATTGATTTCGTATATCTCCATACCAAGTTCCAGAACTCTACCATGCACACTGTCAGAGATATGTAGCATGAGAAATTCGGTTTGTATGGGAATTGCCACGCCCCCTTTACATATAGATTTTTTTTAGCTTAAAACCATCCTTGGAACACGTGCGGCAGGTGGCAGTTTCAAAAAAATCGGTTCAGCCGCTCTCGAGCCTTGCGAAACCTAAAAAACGGCTTTCAAAATATATATTAGCTGAGATATATTATAATTATATTTTGACAGTATCCGTTGTTTCTGATTGGCGCAAAAAAATCTTGCCAAGTGACGAATCCTTGATATGGTCGTTGCTCAAAACTATTTATATTTGAAATTGCATGAAAATTGGAAAACAGGAATCTATAAGCTTATCCAGGCAAAAAGCTACCTACGTACCGAATTTCAAGCAAATCGGGCCATAAATACGATTTCTTCGATTAGATCGGTCCCTGGTCCACTTCTCGGAAAACATGGATCATATATGCTAAAAAGCTACTTACGTACCAAATTTAAAGCAAATCGGACCATAATAAGATTTTTTCGAATAGATCCTATATGCTAATATATGCTAAAAAGCTACCTACGTAATGAATTTTAAGCAAATCGGACCTTAAATACGATTTTTTCGAATAGATCGGTCCCTGGTCCACTTCTCGGAAAAAATGGACCGTATGTGCTAATATATGCTAAAAAGCTACATACGTAGCGAATGTTAAGCAAATCGGACCATAAATGCGCTTTTTTCGAATAGATCGGTCCCTGAACTACTTCCCGGAAAAAATGGATCATATATGCTAAAAAGCTACTTACGTACCAAATTTTAAGCAAATCGAACCATAATAAGATTTTTTTCGAATAGACCGGTCCCTGGTCCACTTACCCGAAAAAAGTAATTTTTTTTAGCCTCAAATATGGTGGTTACCCAAAGCTATTTATATACTAAATTTCATGAAAATCGGACCAGCCGTTCGCGAGATTACCTGTTACAAAAAAAAGGGACTTCTCTTTATATAATTAGTACAGATGTCATTCCTTAGGATAATAGTGTAAGGTTGCCACTTATTTTCGATTCTTCACAATTTATCTAAAACATCGCAATATGGATATCAAATGAAAGGCATTGTTGAAAACTTTGGTCAGAAAATATTTTTCATCAGGGTTTCCACGCTTCTATGTAATACAAATTTCTATTTTGTTATTTGCAATCAACATTTTTTTATACATTTACATATACATAGTACATACACGCTCAAGATATGTACAATTCATTCCAGCATATTTCGGAATAGGGTTGCCACCTAAATTTTAGAGTAAGGAATTTACTTAATAGATATCGAAATCCATTTTTTTGTTTGTTTATTTCCAAAATATTTTTTTAAAGCTATCCAAATCTTGAAAACTTCAGAAAGGATATGCACTCCGGGCAAAGCTCGGTCAACCTGGTACTTATTATAATAAATCAGTAACAGTAAGTCTCGCCTTCAATTTGGTAATTATTACTTACCGATCGAATAACATTTACCAAAGTTATATCGAAAAACTTAACTGGATCTCCATTTTTATACCTTTCATGAGCATGAAATGGTATTATAACTTTGGTCCGATGTTTGTAAGTACCAGAACAAAAAGAGATAGACCCATTAAAATGTATACTTATATGATCAGAACGTCGAGCTGAGTTGATTTAGCCATGTCCGTCTGTCCGTCTGTCCGTCTGTCCGTCTGTTTGTATGCAATCTAGTCTCTCAGTTTTCGAGATATCCGGATCAAATTTGGTAGGTGGGTGTATTTTTATAATGTATTAATCATTTGTCGGAACCGGAAGAATCGGACCACTATAACATATAGCTCCCATACAACTGATTGTTCAGATATGAGATTTTTCGTTATAACTTCTTCATTTATGCAGCTACGAACATGAGATTTTGCAGTATTTGCACCCATTATCAACAGAATTCTTACAGTGAAAATTACAAAGATCGGGTCACTATAACCTATAGCTCCCATACAACTGATTGTTCAGATATAAAATTTTTCGTTATAACTCCTCCATTTATATAGCTAGGAACATGAAATTCCGCACTGTTTTCAATAAT